TATTTTCAGAAGCGAACTCATGGCAGGAGTTATTAGATGGACAACCAACATTATTAAAACTGACACCAAAACTAGGATTAGACGTACAGACTGGGATGGATTTACTATGTCTGGGTGGAATCGTCATCTCGTTGTTCTGTATGATATCTAAAGGTGGTCGAGACATCGTGTCCTTTACTTTATTATGGATGCTTTATCTTTCTCTATACCAGGTTAGTAGCCTTGTTATTTTAACATGTTCCTCTGCGATTGCATGTGATTGTGAACTCTCTGAAAGGGATATAGGGTTGTAGAATAGAAATAGTGGTACCAAAGAATAATACCATGTGAACTCTCTGAAAGGGATATAGAGTTGTAGAATAGAAATATAAAGGAATGATGCTATGTGAACTCTCTGAAAGTTGACAAACCTGAATCTAAATTTGATCCCTGACTTTTTTTTTCGAAAATATTTAGCACACTATATCTAAGTTAGATGATCCTGATCTCCCATCCCCTCTCTGAATATATAATCCAGCCAGCCTATACCTTATCTTTGAAAAAAAAACACACCTTCCCCTCTTTCTTGATATATACCAGTCTATACCTGAACAAACTGAAGCCAGAAGTATTGATCTAGTTGTATAGTTAATTAGATAGATAGATCTATGTACTATAACATCTGTCTTCTGGAAGTTTACGTATCTGGTATTTTTATTGTAAAATATCTCTTTTCTTTATTAATATTGATTATTGTATACCTTACTTTGTTTCGTCTGATAGCCTTTGTCTCGTTAACACATCTGTAACTATAAAATATTTCTGCTGTGTATCACTTTAGTAGCAGAAATCCTAGACTTTCTATTGCCAGTGGCTTTTTTTTTTTTTTTTTCGAATAAAACAAGTAAAATTTTGGGTTAAGGGATGAAAAGATTTCTATGTAGGAGACAACTTCCATGAAAGTCTCATGAAATAGTAAAATCTCCCCTGTACCTCCAACTTGGGAGCATGTGCCCCGTTAACCTTCATCTGATATTTTCCATTTCCTTACTTGTATCCCTCTAGTAGAATTGATGAACCCTTATACCTTCTTTCCATATTTGTACTTTTCTACTAGCTAACATGAAAGTAAGGGGCTCTATATTGGCCTGTGTCTAGATAGTATCTTTGGTACTTGGTTGCTTTCCATAATTAGGTTCTTTGTATTAGTAATGCAATGCACATTAACAGGACTGGCATGCAGAAAGAATCAACGACAATAAACAAAAGCTATGAGTTTTTTTGGGACTTGAACTTCAAAGTCCAAAACAGTTTCTTTCATTGAGACTTGTCCCAATATACCCCAATACGAATAAACTTTCTAGCATTGTTTTGTATTCATAAAGTATCTGTATATTTCAGGTTGGTCAATCTTTCATGTGGTTTCAATGGTGAGTATTTTTCTTCTGTTGCAATTTATTGTGAAAAACTTGAATGCATGGTGGTGACTTAGATAGTTAGATGCTTGCCTTCCGAATTCACTATCAATCAACAAGATTGCATGTAGCCAATTTAACGTTTTGTTTTGTAAATTTGACACAAGCATGCAACCTTTGAATGTCTCAAGTACTGGCCATGAAAAAGGTCATTTTGTTTGGTTAAATTCACAGCTTTATGTGAAGTTAGTTGAATACAGTGAACCACTGTCTTGTCTACATATTGAAACCTCCTTTCCAAATTGTCAAACCTGTTCTCATTAACCTGTATTTCATTTTATCTTGAAAAAAACCTGAATATGTTACTGCAGTAGTGTGATACATAATCTTAGATTAAAAATTTCATAAAAAAAAAGTCTTAATTCAAGAATATTTGCAGATCATTTGATTTGTAAAAATCTATTTTAGAACTTGAATTATACTCTACAGTATCCAACTGTGTAGAATAATAATGATATCTCATTCAGCTAACAGTTGATTATCTCTGACTACAAATAGCTTTTATCATTTCTATTCATTTCTTTATCCAGTATTGATTTTCTTGTTGATCTAGTTGTTATATAACAGTGGGATATTGAGAGGCAATATCTGAATGATTCTCAAAAGAACAGGCAGTGGCATCCAAACAAAATATTTTATGGGAGGTGCTAGAATATTGAGGGCTTATTCACAAATTTTAGCTTAAACTGAGATCAAATTTTTGGTAAATGAAATTATCAGTTGATAAAACTAACTTTATAATGTTGAAATGTTATGTTCTTAATATTGTAGTAAAGAAGAGTGCTTATTCCATAATATTGTTTTGAGTTTGTAACTTAATAATGGATTCTAAAGCATTAGCCATGATGGTCATGTTCAAATCATCTTTTATGTCATTGTTTTGCAGGAAATTCTCCTTCCACATCAACTCCAGTCATTATACAAAATGTTTATCAAAATTAAAACATTATTTTTCAGGGATATATTATTGTTAGAGGCAGGGTTTCTAACGATTCTGATAGCACCATTTAAACTGAACATCCCTGGGTTACGTCTGTCTTCCTATCATCGTCATGATAAGATAACAATGTGGCTGGTGAAATGGTTATTGTTCCGTCTGATGTTCGCGTCTGGTGTGGTGAAACTGACTAGTAAATGTCCAACATGGTGGAAACTGACTGCACTTACTCATCATTTTGAAACTCAGGTTTGTGTGACTTTAATCTTAAAACTTTTTGGGGCGCTTTCAGGGGAAACAGAGGTTGACTTAGGGTGTGATTGTATATGGGTGGATTTAGGTTTAACCAATGGTGGGTCTAGATTAAGGGGCATGCTCCAGACTTTGATCTGCATATCATAGATCTTTCCTAGATTATCCAGGTCTAATTTACAACTGACTGGAAAACAGACTCTTATCCATTAGATGGAAATTTCTAATTCTAAACCTTAGATCTTTTTATACAACAGTGTATAGTGTATATAGGACTATTTTGTTTGCTATTTTTCAGTGTTATAGTGTATATAGGACTATTTTGTTTGCTATTTTTCAGTGTATTCCTACTCCATTAGCCTGGTTCTGTCATTCGTTTCCTGATTGGTTTTTAAAACTGTCAGTTGTGGTCACGTACGTTATCGAGATACCCATACCCTTTCTTTTCTTCGCCCCAGCCAGGGGGTTGAGACTGTTTGCCTTCTGGGCACAGGTCAGTATTATTTTTCAATTCTGAGCTCCAGGAATATCTTATGGTGAAGGCACATGAATAGTGATTGTCTTGTCAAGAGTTTTACTAGGAGACAAAAAAATCTCCAGTTGGTCATTTTCACTTTGTCGATAATCAAGTCATAATCAATCAAACTGAAGTGTAAATAAAGATGAAGAAAACCATCTTGTCTTAGATTTTACTCAGAATTTGCGTCTGGTACAAAAACTGTTCGTGTAGCCCCACCATTAAATATTCAAGAGAAGCAAAAGGATACTACATTTTATTTTCTAGTTTTATTTTCAAATCATACAATTAGCACTGTATCACAGCACATGACAAGTCAGTACCACCAAAAAAAGTTGTCCATCATTGTTAAAACTAACTAAACATTACTAAGCTTACCAGCACTTGTAAATGAATAGTCCTTGGTTCGGACCTAGGCCTGTGCTTTCTATGAGTCAAATTCTCTTTTCACCTTAACACAGACCCTCAGACATATTACTAACATAAACTAATAGATCATAAATATTGATATAAAATCATAGTAATACACTTAAAAATATGGCATACAAATACACCACTTATATCACAGTTAGATATTTTAATTCTCCACCCAGATTTGACTGGTGAAAACAACTTAATCAACACTCCTGGCACTTATCTTTTTTTTAATTTTATGCCCGTATAAAAAATTACAGGAGAAGAATCAACTATGGACTTGAAATAACAAGACATATTTTTGCTCCAGTCGGCTAAATAATATTCCTTTAATATCACAGTTAGAGATTTTAATTCTCCAGCCAGACTTGATTGGCAAAATCAAATAAATCAACACTCTTTGGTCCTTGTTTCTCATAAAATCCTATAACTATGAATATAAATCAAATTTAAAAATCAAACTTCCACAAAATTTGATCGTAATATTTGTATATGGATACAGATACAAAGCTGTAGTTTGATACATCTGAAGTTAAACTTAAGTTAAAGGTAAATAAAACAGGATTTGAGTTATGCTATTTCTGAGCTAGAAAAATAGCTCAAAACATTGTCAGTGTTCTCAAACTTGATATCAGGAGTGGTAGCTATCTTAGATAAAAATTCATTATTTTTCATGGGAAAGTCAATTTTCCAGTAGATACCTGGATGGCGTATCAACAACGCATTTATCACTTGTACTAAATCCGTCAGGAGCTCCAAGATCGAACCGAAATTCTCTCCACGTACGGATAGTTTAATAACCATAGAGCCTTGATTATCAAGTCCTTCACGAATCAACAATGATTCGTCGTCCGTCGTAGCGAACACTGCTGATTTCCAGTCCATTCGTGTTAAAACAATGTCCTGAATTGTCGCCGCACATTTTGCAAAAATTCCATGTGTATTATGAAAGGGAAAGGTGTACATAACTGAAGCCTCCTTTTCGTCATTTTCTGGTTTATCAGGCCAGACATCTTCAATCTCGTCCGTCTGGATATCAGTGCTGTATGATGGGATCACCATTATCGGCCAGCAGTAGAGTTGTCCCTTGGGAACGTCAGGCTCTGGTATTGTGTAACATAGATCCAACAAGGGCAATAACTCTAAGATGTCCGTCAGACCATCTTGATCTAGTTTATGATAAAAAAGGAGACAGTTTAGTAATGGACGAGAAACTTGACCACATAATAAAAATCGTTCACGAACTTCTGTAAACTCTTCTTCTGTGAGGTTACCTTTGTTGGAAAACAGTCTTTCAGTCTTGTAGTCAAGATACTCGTACATGTCATGGCGGAACAATGAGGATAACAAATTGATCAGCTCCCGTGGACGTTGAAACAGAATTTCCGAGATTCCAGGAATTTCAGAATACCATAAGAAGTCTCCAGTGTTGTGGAAATTTTGAATACAATCTTCAAGCTGATCTTCCTTGACTCCATGTTTCTTAGCAATGTCTTCCACTTTATCCCACAGCAAGTAAACTGCTTTGTGGCGCTTCAGTTCTGCACGGAATTTGAGCCAGTTGTCAGGGATAGCACGTTGAGCGTAGGGGAACAATGATTGGTCAATGGCAAGAAGTTCAAGGTCACTAATAAGTTCAGAAATTCCATCAATTCCTTTAGCAGAAGTAACTATGCTAATGTTTGGCATGACTCTTAGCTGGCACGATTTGAGTTCAATGAGTTTTCGTTGGCGCACTTGTAATAATTTCAAAATGGCATCTTCTGCTTCTGTACGTAAATTGTTGACAGAAGATTGTGAGGCCTGGATAATTTCAACCTCTCTTTCAACATTGGTCAGCTCGTCTGCAAGATTTTTGTAGTAATTTTTTAGCTGAGTGTGAATCAAGCGAATAATCGTTTCTTTTTGAGCATCATAGTTGATATGCCCTGAATTCAAGTCAGATTTCGTGCCGATTATTTTGATCACAGTGCCTGGAGCGTTAGCAACCAGCATATCTACCCATCGTCCAATCATTGTAGCATAGGAATTTTCCGTGAATGTTGAACTGTCGTACACGAGAAAGACCAAGGCCTTCAGATCTAGAAATAAGGGGTATGTGATCCAATAGGTTCGATCACCTCCGAAATCATTCATCAAAAATTGGACCTTGTTTTCAGTTCTCCAGAGGACCTGCCCCACGATTTTTGTTTGATCTTTGAATGGTTTCGTCAGAAATGATTTATTCTGCATCAGTGAATAAACCAAACTTGTTTTTCCGCATTGAGAGTCCCCAAATACTAGAATCTTTTGACGATTTAAATTCTCAGTGCGTACGATATGTTGAGTTTTGAGATATTCAAAGATAAGCTCTGGTTTGTCGGATCGCCAAACCTCTGGGGGTGGAACTTCTAACGGATTCTGATATAACCACAAACCATATTTATGTAGTTTATGGTACGTGTGGCATTCTGTCAAATTTGTCAGCTTGTACATTTTCATGGGAAGAGCTTTCAGAGAATTTTTGGTCAGATCTAGAGTTGTGAGTCCTTTAAGTTCACAGATACTGTCTGGCAAGGATTGGAGTTTATTGTTAGCTATTAATAACGATTTTAGATTCACCAGTTCACGAATTTCAGAGGGTATACGACGCACTCTGTTGTTACAAACATTCACCTCTATTAGTTTGGTAAGCATTCCAATTGACGAAGGGATTCTTTCAAATTGATTGTTGTTCAACTTGAGATAATTTAAACCAATCAAATAGCCAATCTCATCAGGAAGTTGGTACAGATTATTATGGGATAGATCCAGAGTATGAAGTGACGTTAGTTGATAAATACTCTCTGGCACATTTTGTAGATAATTCTTCGCTAGGTATAATTCTTGTAGATTTTCATTGTAAATGTCTGGTAAGTTGTTAATTTTTGTGCTTTCTAAATCTAGGACATCCAGTCTTGGCAATTCAAACACGACTGGTGGAATATGTTCCGAACGGATCTGTCCCTTTTTATAAAGAGTCTCCATGTATTGGTCGACGCCCACACAAAAACTACGATAGTTGATAGCTAATCTTTTTAATTTTGGCATCTCTGGCAGGGTGTCGGGCAAAGATTCGATTGTGTTACCCCAGAGCAGAATTTCTTCCAGATCTTGGCAGCAGGCAATTTCAGGCGGTAATGATGTAATGTTAGTTTGCTGCAGATTCAACTTCTGAAGCGCGATTAAATTGCCAACGTCTGGCAATAGAAGGTTGATTTTATTTCGACTGACGTCTAAAATTTTAAGGTTGCATAATTTCCAAATTGCTGGTGGAATAAACGGCAGATTACATTCCGAGATTCGTAACTCCTGAAGGTAAACTAGGTTTGCGAATTCGACTGGAAGGCCAGAATAGTCCTCAGGTCCGACACAGCGTAGTCCGTTTTTACTGATGTCTAGTTTCTCCAGGTTAACCAGTCTCTGAATCTCAGCTGGTAAAATTCGAAGGTTGTTTGAGGATAGATTTAGCTCTCCGGTATCTTTTTCTGAAAAATATTAAAATATTCTTTAGTTTTGATAGAAAATGCATGAGGAAAGACAAATTATTTAAGGTCACTAGACTTGCATGTCAAATTCTTACACTCAAACCAGCTGCGTTATAAGAAAACTCTTTTAATTGGTTGTTGTACCGATATAGTCTGATTAAAACCAGCTATCTTAGAATACGAAAATTGATAACGGCAGACAACTTTAGGTAAGGAAAAAAACAAGGTTGAAATGAATATAATGAAACTTACTAGAAGTGACGTGAAGAGGAACAGAAGTCATTCCTTGACCAGACATGTCCACAATTCTTAATCCTTTATTGTTCATCTCTCCAGAAGAATGGCGGCCACTTTTAATTTGAGATCTGTCCATTTTTGATGACAGACTGGACAAACTTCGGTTAGCAGACGTCAATTTTTTTGAAGAATTTGTTCTCTTGACACCAGGTTTTGGAGAGGCATTTTTAGATTTCTGAGATCTCGTTGGGGACACACTTTTATGACTCGCGTTCGACATCGAAGGTGAGGTTGTTTCTCGACTTTTTGCCGAAGAATTTCGGGAGATGGGTGGTAGAGGAGTCGACATTATTATTTAGTAGACGATCTAAAAATAGAAAATATTACTTTCATAAATATTTGGCATAATTTGAAAAGACTTCAAAGGATAAGTATTGACTTTACCAGCTGAAAGAGTTCAATTTTAGCTATCTGTAGATAGAATTGAAATGTGGCACAAGGTTCGGTTGGTTGGTAGATGACCAGTTAACTTTTGCTTCCAGCGGATGCTGATATCGCAAACTAGATAGTTGTTGGTAGATAAGTTTAACTAAGCTTAAATGCTCATGAATAAAGATATCGAGCTTTCTGATCTAGATTCAGGCCAATTTGTCCTGCGTGAAATTTATTTTTAAATCAAACTCCTCAAAATATTAACAATAGTATGTCTAAAACTGAAAAATCTAGGCCCAGGCAATTCAACTTTTGTGGAAATTACTTTTATATAAATCGCACCAAAATATTAACAAATTTGCCTACCTACAAATAGACTATCTTTATGATCTAGGTCCAGACTTATTTTCAATATTTTTAAATCAATTTCACTAAAATAATAACAGTATACCTACCTACAAATAGTCTAGCTATAGTCCTTTCATATCATATTAGTTATAGAAACAATCACAGTCTTGTGTGAAAATATTATTAAGGTTTATCAGGTGAGAATTATGATTACTACAAGTTATTACAAGTTTAGTATTAGACTAGTATATAGGTTTCAGATTATCTACTTACATTAATTATCTATAATAGTTACAAAATAGTATTAAACTCTGATAGCATTATAGGGATTAAAACTAAAAGGGATTTTATAGGCTCAATGTATTAACCAAATCAATTTCCTCTCAGAGGTCTGTGGTGCCTCGGGGTTCCTATTATCTACATACCTATATTACTAATAACTATAACAGTTACAAAATAGTATTAAAATCTTATAGCATTATAGGGATTAAGAGATGTTTAACTTCATGTATTAACCAAATCAATTTCCTCTCAGATGTCTGTGGTTCCTCAAGGTTCCTGCAATTCTTGAACAACTTGACTAGATAATGATTACAAACACAAGACAATAATGTGGAATGAGCACACCTCCTAGATAAAAATTAAGCACATAAGTTTCAACATAGTTTACATGTATTGTCATCAGATGAAATAATGAGGGAAAAGACAATGGAGCCTTTATCACAAGCACCATTTATTTTAAGGTGATAATTTTCTTAGTCGTTAATTTGTGAAATTTTAAGTATTTGCAGTCTCACAACTTTATTTAAGAATTTGAGGCTGACAAAATCTATGCTAATGAACTGGAAATTCTTGTTTTTAAAAAATGTCTTTGATTTTGAAAAATAACTCAAAATTTGAAATCGGCACAAAACTAAGATATATACAAACACATCCTTTTGATGTGGTTATATTTCTGTCAAAATCATAAAACATACAATTTAAAAACCTTATACATGTAGGCCTATAGAGAAAGCTGCAAATAGACAGATACAGTGAGTGGTGCAGTGCACTGTACAGTATTATCAATATAGTAGAGAATAATAAAACCAGTTGGTATACACCCAGTATATTTGTATGTTTAAATAAAGTGATATATTTAATCTAAGTAAAAAAATTAATAATAGACATGAAAATCTTATTTAGTTTATTTACCTTGTACTTCACTCTTAATCTTCAGTTTACAAGAGGTCAAGTTTTTTTTATTCATTTGATACTGACCCTAGATAAGGCACATATAGTTTTATTTACTTTTCTCATCTGAATAGAAAATGCTGTTTTGTAACTTAAGTTACTGTTTCCCCTGTTTTGCGAGTTAGAGGGATGAAAAATCATTTTGTGTGTGTTTCAGGCAGTGCACATTGAAGATCCTTGTTAATCCTCTTTTTCTGATAAAATTTGTCTCCATAGCATGATTTTCCTTATATTTAGAAGGCTGTAACCCTTAAAAGAGTAATGAGTAAATAAAGGGGCACCTGTTTGTTGATGTTGATATAGTAACAAATAGTCATACATTGTTATACTAACTAATCTATATACTGATATTAGTAGTATTGTTAGCCAGATTGGGACTATTGTTAAGGCCCTGTTTACATATATAGCATACATTTGTCCATGGACATATAGTATGATGTTTTGACCAAATGTATGATAGTGCATGTGGGACTTTTATCAAAATGATATAGTTATAGATTAAGTTTGAAGGGAAAGCAGTAAAAACCTAATGTTATATAGACATATCTAATAAATATTATTCAAATATCACATAATCCCTTGGCATATTTTAAATTTTATTGAGTCTATTGACTTAAAACAGCTTGTTATTCCAATAGTTATTTACAAATCTAATAATAGAAATGTTCCTGATATGCAAGCAAAGGCTATAACACCTATTTCTAAACCCTTACAGACAGTTGTAAATTTTTTAACATAGAAAGATGAATTTTTACTGACCTTTCGAAAATGAAGAAAGATTTATATCATTATCTACTGATTGAAAAACCAGTAGAACATCTTCTTCATTTCTTGATAGACCAGTCTTAACCACAACCAAAACTTGATACACATTTAGATAGGCCTAAAATAATATATAAATTGATAATCCAACTACAGACAAATAATATCCAACCCAAACTTGTTACACATTTATTTGATAATCCAAACACATGCAAATTCTATCAGCCTCAGATTTCAGAAAACTTAAGATATAAAATCCAGAAAATTAAAGTATAGATACTTGACAACAATAATATATTAAACTATATAGTAGATCAATCAGTTTTGATATTCAATAGTTTTATATTGGATTAGGCCAAGTTTAAAATATCTTTAGTTTCTAGTCAGAGGTATAGTGAATCGTAGAGTTGTCAATACTTCAGTACATGATGAGTTTACAAACTTTGGATACAAAGCTGATATGATTTGATTGGCAAAAAACCCCCCGAATTTACCATATGAGCTCTTCCAATCATACCTATACAGTTTAATATTGATAGAAAGTATGTATGTGTGGAAGAATTTAAAGGATTCTTGCATAGGTATAGGCAGTTTCAAAATCAAAAATCCTGTGGAAAAATAAACAGAGTAAAATTGTTTTGGACTGACATAGAACTGAAAACTGAGATTTATTAGAGTTGTCCTAATATAATAGAGGTATTGAACATTATAAAGAGTATAATAGAAGTCATTGATTTCCCTAACAACTATTATACATATATTGTATTATATTGTATGGGTGGGAATTAAGGTTTACAATACACACATATCTTATCTAAAGTCAGGGGTGTGATCTGGGGGGAGGGACATGAGGAGAGGGGAGGGAGACATAGTCTGGGGGTGGGGTGTTATTGAATTACCTAACTAATATATTGTAATGTATGGGTGGTGGAGTTTTATTACAATATTTTATTGAATATTATGGATATTAAAAATCAATCATCAATTATCTTATTGATTATTGATCTGCAATCATTGTATCATTGCCTGTGTCCATAGCTATCACAATCAGTATTAAAATCATCTCCTTATATACTAGACTGATATCTAATCAGTCATCTAATACCTCATAAATATAAGTTTATTTGACACCTTTAAAGGAGCACCTTCACTATCTGTTCGACCAATCAAACCTCGAAATGTGAGCCTTCAAATCCATGTGTATCCATTATTATTATTTGAAAGTTAAGAATTTGACTCGAATTTTAGTGAGACTATGCCATATATAGAAAACACATATATAGAAATAGACAGTGAAATTTCTAGTTTGAGGTATATTTGAAGAGATTATACGATTTTTGTGTGTGTTAGTACTTCTTAAGACTATTAAACCACAATAAAGACCCAAATCAATCCCTGTAAATGCCAACTGTTCCCCTTTAAGTCTTGAAAGGGCTTGAGGGAACGAGAGTAGAGGGGGTGGTTGGTTCAACTATTTTACTCGTAAGGTTTATCACTACATACCCCCATTATCTACAGGCCTGGTTGTCAAGTTTGTTTGTTTGTTTTTTCATCCAAACAGTACAATTATTTTTAATATGATAGTTTGCTAATATAGTTTTTATTCTGTATATTTTCAGGTTTTGTTACAAGTAGCTATTATATTAACAGGGAACTATAATTTCTTTAATCTATTAACACTAACATTGTGTGTATCTTTACTTGATGATAAATTCTTCGGCCAAGTCGGTAAGTTCTGTTATGTTTTTCGCATTAAAACGTCTCATAATGACATGAAGTAAAGCCAGGCCTTGTGGTAATAAGAGGTATCGATACCGTACATTACCTTTCACGAGGATCAAAAAATAGAAATTTTTAAACTTGGTCAAAACTATATGACAGAATCCCTCTATAATCTAATAATCCATCAAACTGCAATTTTGAGAAGCTTTTTTCAATAGTAACTTGGTTTAATGGATGTTTACAAATATCTATGTTTGACTATAACTTGTATTTGTATTTCACTTTTGTTTCCCCCAGATAAAAAGAAGAAGAAATCATCATGGTCTATATTAAGTATTTTAGCTGGAGTTATTGCCCCTGTGGTTGTTATAGGTTACTTAGGGTTTATGGTAGTTAAAATGTTTAAGATACAGCTAATGAAAGATAATACTATACATACTGAAATAGGTACGTATGAGCTTACTAACTCCCTGTACAATCAACGTTCAGTTTAAGCACTTGCGCATCGCAATTACCGACTCAAAATCTCATATGCAACTTGCTCTCTTTAAACACTAGAAAAAAAATATTATAAATCTTTACTTTATGACCTTGGCCAGTGCTTTCATGAGATTGTGTTCTCATCACCATCTAACACCAAAAATTGAGTTTGTAAAATTTTAAAATATGAAATTTATGATTTAAGGGTTCAGTGAGAAACAGTTTTTCCAGTGGTTAGAATTGATCATGCCCTATACCATTATAATTGGAATTGTATCATTAGCTTACGAAGTTTTAATTACTATTATAAGGTACGTACTAAAGTCAAATGTAGAATATAGTTCTCACAAAGTCGTGAACTCGATCAAGAAGCAAAAGCTATATTTTAAAGTTTAGTTTAGCTCGTTGGTTTTAAACTGGGTTATTTATGATTAATTTGAATTAATAGATTGTTGCATAGTGTGTTCTCATTTATTTGACTCTGTAAAATCGAGGCCAGGGCTCATGAAATTAGGAACTTCCTTGTTCCCAAAAACTTCACTAAGATAAAATCCAGACTTACAGAAAGACCGCAATCTTATTGGATGGTGACACAAAATTTAGTCCGAAACATAGAAATCATCTGGAGTTAAGTTTTTGAGAAAAGGACCCCGGAATATTGTGTGGTATTATTTTATATTATCTTGTATTTAATATACAGATGTATAGTAGAAGAAAAGAAATCCACCATGAAAATTTGGTCTGCTGTTCAATCTATAATATTTGCTGGTGTAGCAGTAGCCATGTTTGGTCTCAGTTTAGTAAGTTGATTATTATTTTAAACTTTCTTGCAAGAAATCTCTAGGGTTGTCTCTTTAAAAATAAATCCATGTAAACTGGAATAAATGTGATTCTGGCACTAAATAAAGGCCATAGTGACAAGTCAATAGAAGTTCTTTCATGCTTGATTTGAACATAGCGTCAAATTTGGTCATTTGTCTAACAGTTTTTCATTCATTCATTTATTTGTTATACACTGATTAATTATCTCTTTCTTTCATTCATTTATTAGATTAGTTATCAGTGGAATTACCAATCATTCATTCATTTATTTCTTTTTCAGTGGCATTGCCAGTCATTCATTCATTCATTCATTAATGTGCTCATTATATCTTGCACTGTGTCAATTGAATGTTTATTTATAGTAGCATGTTGTCTCTAGTAATACCTGACTAACAGTTATCTAGATGTCAACTCTAGTAATACTAGACTAACAGATATCTAGATGTCAACTCTAGTAATACTAGACTAACAGATATCTAGATGTCAACTCTAGTAATACTAGACTAACAGATATCTAGATGTCAACTCTAGTAATACTAGACTAACAGATATCTAGATGTCAATTCTAGTAATACTAGACTAACAGATATCTAGATGTCAACTCTAGCAATACTAGACTAACAGATATCTAGATGCCAACTCTAGCAATACTAGACTAACAGATATCTAGATGTCAACTCTTGTATACTAGACTAACAGTTATCTAGATGTCAACTCTAGTAATACTAGACTAACAGATATCTAGATGTCAACTCTAGTAATACTAGACTAACAGATATCTAGATGTCAACTCTAGTAATACTAGACTAACAGATATCTAGATGTCAATTCTAGTAATACTAGACTAACAGTTATCTAGATGTCAATTCTAGTAATACTAGACTAACAGATATCTAGATGTCAATTCTAGTAATACTAGACTAACAGATATCTAGATGTCAACTCTAGTAATACCTGACTAACAGTTGTCTAGATGTCAACTCTAGTAATACCTGACTTACAGTTGTCTAGATGTCAACTCTAGTAATACTAGACTAACAGTTATCTAGATGTCAACTCTAGTAATACTAGACTAACAGATATCTAGATGTCAACTCTAGTAATACTAGACTAACAGATATCTAGATGTCAACTCTAGTAATACCAGACTAACAAATATCTTACTCATTCATGCATGCTCACTTAGTCTCAATCTCATATTAGAATTTATCATTCCAAATTTATATCTTAAATATTAGATTTAAAGACAAATATTTAGCATGATTTAGCACATTGCATGTCTTGAACTAAAGGAAGGGACACAACTCTCCCATTTCATATCATGTTTTCATCAGTACCATAGTTTATTACACAGTGTTATTAACCCTTTAAACACTGAGTGTAAATGAAATAATACATCATATACCCTGAACCTCAAGTAATATAACTTACAGCGTATGATGTTAACATTATGTGATGTCACTTGGTAACGGTTGCTATACTGGCCGCTCCAGTATATATTGTGTAATTATGATGCTGGTAAACTGACCACTAGGGTATATATTGAGTAATTATGTGGCTGGTAAACTTGTTGAAAGGGTTAACTCACGATATCGTTGTGAATTTGTATTTTATTTTGTATTTAGATGCCACATTCTGCCGTTCATCGCCCTACCCAGAAAACCTTGTGGCCATATTTAATGGATTTCCACACCTTTTCTTATAAATATCACGTCACGTCTTCGTATGGCTTGTTTCGCAGGTATATTACCAGTTGGTTTGAGTTGTACGGAATTGAATGGAAAGTAAAATGTCCTCTGTCTAATTATTGAATATCTTGTTGAAATGAAACATGAATTAGATTTATTAAATGTCAGTAAGCTATTTGTGTTTTGGGATGAATTATTCAAAAACTTAACTGCAGATGAGTTGATAGTTCCAATCATCTGATAATTATTGGGAACTGCATTCATGATTTTTTTATTAAGAAATTTTCATTCACCAGTCACTGATTTCATGTAGCTTTTTGACAAAATACAATATATTTATACAAAGTTTTTCTTTTTCAATTAAAATAAAATAGGCATAGGACATTATACTTTCTCTGTATGTTTGTAGTGGGGATAGGATTTGCATGCTTTTGGGTTGGGGCGACAGGATTTGCCTGTTTTTGGTGGGGGGCCAGGATTTGCATGTTTTTGAATCTGTGTCTGCTTTGCATGCTGTAAACCACTTGCTTTGCTTGTTATATCTAATGCATGTGTTTGTATGTTGACATGATTATTTTGGGCTGCTTTGTTGATTCTGCTAAACTAAAATATAGTAATTTCAGTGGAGGTTTAATTTAGATGTATTCTGGTTCAAGATTGTTATAGATATTTGACTGTGGTATTATCCTTGATTGATTATATAATCATTCCCTACCACTTAACCTCTTTTATTCCACCTCATTTTTAGGCTTCAGTGGTGATCTTTTCAAGTGGGTTTCTGAAGAAGGGACAACCCTTCTCTATTTCGTAATCTCTTTTATTGCAGTTTCCATTCTTGTTTGGTGCCCTAAGAGTTCTGAAACCCAACCCTAGTCTAATTCCATAATTCCCTCTATCAGAGTTTTTAGCATCAGTGTTCCATCTTTGATGCCATGTCTGGTGCCTGTTGCTTCCTAGAGTTCTTAACCTAACCCTATTCCAGGTTCCTTCTATTGCAGGTCTTAGCATCTATCCTTGTTGCCATGGCTAGTGATTCCAAGAGTTCATAACTCAACCCTATTCTAATTCCAGGTACCATTTACGCGTGGTCTTGACGCCAAGTCATATGGTTTAGTATGGCCGTCTGTACGGGAATGGCATTCAAATCTAGATACCTTTAGACTAACAGACTCCTATGGTCTTTTTAGAGTGTAAGCTTTTTTTGGTGTTTGAACCTTTTTCGTTTAATTTTATTTTTTATTTTATTCTGTCAGAATGGGCAAAGAAAGTAGAATGAATATAATATCCAATGAATTGATGAAAATGACAAGTTAACATTAGTTATTAGTGTTTTTGCTCTGTGTGACTATATGTTGATTTGTGAATATTCACTAACTACTCAATAACTTTTAATCTTGCAATATTTTCCTCATTGTACACTACTGCACTACCAGGCATTGCCTGTTTTCATAAGCCCCAATATAATAAGGATCTATTCATGGCAAGCCAGATTTTATTCATGCAAAATATCCCAAACTGACATTTTGCAGGGATTGTAAAGAGGATTTATAATTATTTTAAGTGTATCCGGGGCACTAATAGCAACAATTTGCACTATTCCAATTTTCAATCAGATATCTGTGGTTCTTACAATTCCACTCAAACTAAGTATAACTACTATATCAAAGGACTTTGCAAAAACCTCTTTTTGAAAAACTATCCATTAAGGTATTGTTCGATAAGGTACAGAACAGTAGGATGTAAAACTTTCTGTTCACTATATAATAATGTTATAAAACGTGTTATATTTATATTATGTAGAATGACTGGTGTTGGAGGCAGACCTGAAGTTGTAATAGAAGGAAGTTATTCTATGGATAAAGGTTGGAAAGAATATGATTTTCTCTATAAACCAGGAAACGTGGCCACTCGACCTCCTGTCGTAGGTTAGTACTTCTATTTAATTCAGAAATAATCTGACTTAATGTCGCCAAGCGATGTTCTAGGTTATAATCTTTATCTCTTTCAGTGGAGAACTGTTTAACAATTAAGCTGCAACACAGTTAAAATCAAAAAGTAATCTGCCAACGGTGTTTAAGTTATTGCCCTTGACTTAGTAAAATGCGTCAAATTTGGCTTGTTTACTTGATAAAGGCTACATTTTTTTTCTGATCTAGATGAAACTTGGTATGCATGTATATATTGTTGAACTTTTGGTCATGTTCAAATGGCAATAATTGGATGAACAAGTTTGGAGTTATTGCTCTTGACTAATAAGATATCTTTAAGTTTATGAGAAAATTAATTTTTAAGTCACAAAAGACTTGTTATCATTACTGACAGCTGGTAGTGGGCGTATGTTAGCAAGGTGTCTTTACAATTCCAGTCAGAAAATATCAGAACATCAATTCCAATCTGTATCATTTATATTCACAACCTTGTAATATTTTTCAGCCCCACATCAACCTCGATTAGATTGGCAGATGTGGTTCGCTGCTCTCGGTAATTATCAACAAAATCCATGGTTTGTCAACCTCGTCTACAGATTATTAACCAATCAGAAAGAAGTATTAGAATTACTGCATAATAATCCATTTCCTGGCAAACCGCCAAAATATATCCGAGCCACTTTATACCATTATCATTTTACTACCAGTAATACTAAAAATACTAAATTGTAAGTAGACGTCATTTCTTAATATTTACATTCTATTGTCACGTGCTATAGTGAACCCATGTAAAAAATTGCATTCATTTACCGATGAACTACAAATTTCTTGAGTGATCTCCGATGACGTAATGACTCGTAATGATGTGATCTCCTGTGACAACTTGGTTATATGGCGTATGAATACACAACAACTTTCAATTAAAAATAGACACGGCGATGGAACAAATCTCGGTCTCAGAGTTTTTGTTGAATATTTCTTTCTATTTTATTTGTTTGTTTAATAGTTGAACTTTCTAAAAAAAAAATTTCATTTGTTTGTAAATAAAGACTCCCATTTATTTCATCAGCCTATCAATGTGGGGGCGGGGCTTAATATTAATTGACAGGAGAACACTAAATTTAAGTGGTTCAGATTTCAAGAAAAAAGAATTAAAATCATTTGAATTAAATTTTAGATTTTCTAAAAGAAATTGGTGGAGTAGAGAAAAGAAATCAGAATATATCTCAATTTTATCGAAAGATGAACCTACCATGATGCAATATTTAGAACATGAAGGAATACTTGGGGTAAGTTTGATTTAATTTTGTTGCTCTGAAAACTGAATTAAAGGAATTGTGAAAAGGTTTCTGTCTATGTGTACAATTATGGCTTCTACTTCATCATTCCAATTTCTGTTAGTTTTCTGTGGTTTCTGTAATTATAGAAATGCTTAACATATGATGACACCTTCGCAAAAGTTGTTAATAATATCTTTGTCCTTCGAGACTTAGTTTTTCCAAGGATCACAGACTGAAAATTGAAACAATCAGTGTTCCTATACATATACAATCCCTTCAACAAAATAACAGAGTATTGTAAATATTTACCAGCTATACAATTGCCGTTATGTTCATACAAGTTCACGTTTATTTTCAGAAAAATAAAATAAAAGTAAAGACAGTGACGTCTGTTATTGGTAAAGGTGTAAAATACATACGAAGTTTAGTGGGACAACCTGAAGGATTTAAATTTCTCATGTCGTTATTCGGATCTGGGCTGCTAATTAACGTTATTAATTGTTTTATTTTTTAATTAGACTAAAAAATTTCTCATAGTAATACTCACCGTGTTTTGTTGGTATTTAAACTAAAATTTTTGTGCATTATTATAGTTAAGCAAAGATATTTGTACATTCTGGTATGATTCAATGTTTGATAGCAGATTTGGATATTTCATTTCATGTTTTTTTGTGAGTTACTCCCCTTCTCATCCATGATCTAACATAATTCTTCTTTAAATCATGTTCAGTTAAACTTTGCAAAATTACGTCTAGATATTGTCAGAAGAATATGAAATGAAACAAATTTGTGTTTCAAAGTTTGCATTTGCACTTTATCAGCTTGGGAAATGATTCAAAAACATGACCATGCCATTTGAATTTGAAGAAGAATTCAAATTGTAAGTAATCTGCAGGCAAGGCATATTAATTGCTACTTAAGGTGCGAGCACACGATTGAATCGTGTGTACCCATGCTTCTACAACAAGATTATTGCGTTCTCGACAGGATTTATAATATTAAACAAGTTTGATAATTGTCTCCGACAGTTTAATCATCTGCAAGACAGACCATCGTCATCCAATCAGATTACTTTTCCTTTCAATTGCATGTTCCGCACGAGATTATTGACAAGGTGGAAAACAACTGACTGGAGCTTGTGTCGGTCAGTGAAACTCTTTACAAGACAAAAATCTCCGAACTAGACCGATTGTAAGCCCGCACCTTTAGAATGAAGTTTTGAATCATACCTGGATTTGTATCAATATCTTTGTTTAACTATATACTTTCATGTAACTTTAGAGAAAATACACTTGGTTAAAAATCCCTTATGGCAACTCCTTGTAGGTCTTGAAAACTTTCATCATTGATATTATACCAACTCTTTAAAGTGTTTAAGTTCTGATTTTAACTAATTTATTTTCTTTTTGACAGTTTTTACTTCTGCTAGTTATTCACCCTCTATGTTACTTTACTTATTTCATCTCTAAAACAATTAACCAACTACAAGCCAAGTATATTTTCTCAACATCTTCTCATTATAATTTCATTGTTTCATATTTTGGAGGATTGAAGCATATCTTAATTATTGAGCATTAGTAAGAATTAATTACCAGGATTTTATTAGCGGCACAACACAAGTTATTTCCCCTTGTCATGCACTAGTTACTTCCCTTACAATTTACTTTTCTTGGTGTAGATTTTTAAACTGTTCATTACATGATACTAAGCTGTGAACGTGAGGAAATCAAATTTGATTGGTGTTCAATGAAATTATGGGAATATTTTAACCTATGAAATAATTTCTCAAAATTACAAATTGTTCCTTTTGAGATAGTACTTTTCATTGGTCAAAATGAAGTCACATGTAATCAGCAGAGCGTGGAATTTAGACAATGACAAATAGATAAACAATTCTTTATATACTTTACTTATTATTTGTGAACTTTTAACTGTTAACTGAGAAGTCAACTGAGTATCCAGTCAAAAAAATACCTATTGCACACTGCATGGTGTGGTCGTTTAGTTTAGGATGAATATGAAGTACAATATAAACTGAAGGCAAAAAATCTCAACCTTTCAGTTGCTTCTACTTTATTTTCATGTTATTTTCTCCATCGACTTAATGAACTCGACTTAATTAACTCTAACGAAGCATTTTTGATGTATTTTTTTTTTGTTTTAATAAGGTGGAACTTTTTTTGTCCACTTTTAGCAATATTTCTTTATTAATGTAGTGCTTATATTGTTAGTATTCATTGTATGAGATCTCAGACAGTTCAAATTTGGATTGTTTTGTGCTAAGCCATTAGGCAGCAGAAAGAAAAATTTTCTCAGTGTATTTTGTTAGGGTGATTGACTGTCATGATCTGTCGTATACCATGCCAAATGCATTTGTCTAAAAGCCTTGAATTATCTGGACATGAAACTGTTCCTTAGTAGATATGAGGTTTCCAATGAATGACTTGTATGATCTGATCTAGTATTTGTTTTGTCCTAATTAGTCTTGGTCTTTCAGTCTTCCAATTATATTGTATATGACTCTTATACTGATGAATTCTCTTTTAATTAACAAAACACAATGGTGACCCACTTTTTGCCTTAAAATTAAACAAAAAAAAAAGATAAATTGTCATCTAATTATTAATTTTACCAGCTTTACTGTGCTAAATAGTTAAAACATTCAAGTTTTCGTGTTTAATTATGTCTATTTGGATGTTTATTCTTCACATTGTTATATTTTGGTCTTTTACCAGTCATAGAATAGAGAGTTGATATTTTGAATTGTGGTGCAGAAAAATAGGACATAAACTCCATTGTATTAAACAGATACACTCTCTGGTAGGCTGGCTCTATCAGATAACAAACTAGATAAGCTCCAATTCGAGATATCTGCATAACAAGCTCTTAATTTCCTTTACCTACCTGTTGGCTTGATAAATAAAACAACTTGACTAATTTCGAACTGTAGTAGTTTTTACTGCATGCAATAGACAATTTTTGTGAGATCTTTACAATATCAATTTTGTAATAAAATTACATTAAATTTGAATCTGTGTTTTTTATGCCCAGTGGTAGGGCTGGTGTTAGTTCCTTCTGCTCTGCCAATCAGTATGTTAATGCTCTAAATGATGTATGGTTAGCTGTTCGAAGGATGAAATTTAAAAGGAGTAAGCTTATCCTGCAGTCCTGGAATAATTTTGGACTATCTGATGCAGGGTAAAAAAGAATAAAACATTAATCATTCCAAAGTATGTTCGTTAAGTTTAGAGGAACAGGTTTATTACCTTGTTATAGTTGAAATCCCAAAAGAGTGCCTAATCAAGTTTCCCAATTGCACACTGCATAGCATTTCTCATCTTCATTTGTCGAACCAGGTCTTGATTTTCTTGTGACCAACATGTACAATCTCTGGTCGTCACAGGTAATAAAAACTACTTTAACCGAGCTGAGGTATTGCTCAGGTAAAGGGAGACAACTACAATAAATGATCCTATTTTGAGAATCATTGTGGTATGTAGCCAAATGATAAAAATGAATTGTATAACAAGTTAAAAAATTGATTATTAATAAAACAAAGTTAGTCAAAATAAACAACAATAACAATTATTACTTTAGGAATGTTAAAAAATAAAAATTAGTGGAGAGAAGATACTTCTGCTCTTCTGGGTCCAAATCAAAACATAAACAGTCCACTATATTTGTAGGTAGTTAAAGTAGTAATCAACACAATATAAATTAAGTCTGTCTAGTATCTACTACTATATATTCAACCTACAAATAAAATCGGCTGCTCCGTCACATCTTCCTCATTAACAGCAGTGTTAATCAAGCTCATAAAAATTTATAAAAGATTGGAATTTAGTAAAAAAAAAGTTAGCAAAAACATTGCACTAGTTAGCATAAAAACGCAGAATAAACATATATACTATCTGATCGGTGGAAGCTAGCAAAAATATATAAAAATACGAAAACTGTCAGAGAAAATCACCAATTTCAAAAATGTTATTGTGAAATCTGACAGGTTGGAAAATCAAATGGAATTGAGCTTATTTTCACTCCTGTATTTACAGTAACAGTGTTACACTAAAAGCTAGTGAGGCAGGATTTCTTCAACCTATTGAAACACCTAATGCCACTGGCGTCTGGTTTGCCAACATTACATTACCCTTCAATAATATTTGACAATGAACAGCTCTTAATCTATTCCAGGAGTGCCTAAAATATTGAGGTTTGTAATTAATGAACTGATCATTATCGAGTCTGGACTTGGTGCTCCCCTCTAGAGTATTTATGCTAAATTTTCACAATGAATAGCTCTCAGTCTTTCCATAGCAGATACAAAATCTTGGGGTATATCATAAACTGACCAACTTAATTCCAACATTAATGGAGTTCGGTTTGTTGCTATGGTAACCCCCTCCCTCTCCCTCTAGAGTATTTATGCTATATTTTCACAATGAATAGCTCGTAATCTGTCTACAGCAGGTTTAAAGTCTTCCTGATAAAATCTGGTAGCTTCATAAAATGATACAGCAGTTCTCCATTTTCCCTGAAAAACAGTGAATATTCAAATAAATTGTGTACAATGTAGCCTACCTTCAGGACATCTGTAAGAAAGGGGTCCTTTTACATGTCAAGAATGATATTAAGTGACTTTGTTAGGGTTAGGTAGGGATGGCCATATGTTTTTTAATGCCCATTTTTGTACCGTTGCAGTACGAATAGCCATGGCCTTTTAAACATAACATCCCTATAATTGTATAGTAGTGGACTCCTCACACGAGAAGTATCATCAGGTGTTTCACAAACATATGACACCTGCCACTACTCTATAGGTCAACAACATCATGAGATACAACCAGATCAATACCATCAGGTGTTTTGAAAACAGCAAGTTAATTTGCTTGTCACCGGCCACTAGATCATGTGATGAAATCAATCTATAACAGTGCCAATCAGTAAACTCACCAGCGCAGCGTAGATATTACCCAGTGTGAAATAATGAATGGGTAACGTTGATTGAATATCTAATGCTAAATCTTCCACCATGATAGCGTTGCTATAGTAACCACCTTGAACCAGAATATTAGCATATCCTAATAACATTAAATCCTGAAAAACAAAAAAAAATAATTAGATAACATTATTAAACTATTTTCACTGTTACAATAAAAAATCTGTACAAGCAAGACAATTCCGTTAAGCAAAATCTCATCCAAAGTATGGCAAAATCGAGAGTCAAAGATGTGTGGTAGTGGACTCCTCCAAAGAGTAGTACCTTCAGGTGTTTTGAAAAGAGAAAGCATGGTGTGCCACACACAATGGTAAAAATTATGAGATACAACCAACAATATTGTATAAAATGTTTTAATTTGGTTCCAAACGCATCAAGCAACTCGTGAATTGTTCCGATTGTCTTTGAAGTTTCTCAGGTATCCCCCTGTAGTGTTCACTTGTACCAAGGATATAGAATAAGAAATAAGCAACTTACAGCCATCTCAAGAGGAGCATATGATAAAGACAGTCTGTAACAATCTAAAGCTTTAGTAAAATCACCCTCTACCCTCCAGTATAGACCAGCTGCAGACGCTGCCACCCACGACTTGGGATTCTGAAAATAATCAAATAAGACTAGTTCCAAAACTTTCTTTATCATAATAATTGACTTTAGTATGACAAAGTAGTAACTACTAATGCCTTTGGGTTGTATTATTCACTGAGAGTTATCTGCCCCTGTAAGCAAATGGCAACATGTGTTTGCCCTTTCTAATAAAACTGAATAATCTCATGGAAGCTCTCACTACTGTTCAATGAAATCCCTTACTTGTAAAGTCCTAAATTAAGCTTGGCATTCCTTTCATTGATTGCCTCTAACTGATATTGTTTATTTGATACTGGAGTTGTTATTTATACAGAATCAAGAAAGAAACCCTTGCGACAGATTGCTACTTACCTGTTGAAGAGTTAAAGCTATTCTATGACCCACAACTTCTGATGGTTCAACATCACCATTTAACGACTGCAATATCTATAATATCAATCAGAGGAGGGGTAATCATACAATGTAATAAAATATATGGGGTGGCGTAAGGGTTTTGGGGTTGTTGTGGGGACAGAGGAAGACTGGTAGAATAAATTACAAGGGGTAGGGGATTGTTGTTGGGCCACAGATGAGCAATGAAACAATGTGAATTAATTATATGGGGTGGGAGGGGGGTTGGGGATGGTTGTATGGCTTAGATTGCTTGGTACAATGACAGTTTTCTGTGTCCAACAAGCTAGAAGATTTCTTGGTACAATGACAGTTTTCTGTGTCCAACTAACTAGCAGATTGTGCTTGGTACAATGACAGTTTTCTGTGTCCAACTAGCTAGCAGATTGCTTGTTACAATGACAGTTTTCTGTGTCCAACTAACTAGCAGATTGCTTGGTACAATGACAGTTTTCTGTGTCCAACTAACTAGCAGATTGTGCTGG